ATAACCCAATGTCAAACAAACTATCTTTACAAGTATTAAACATTTCAAAGAAGAAATAGCAATTTTAGTTTAGATTTAAAACATCAAGCATTTAAATGCTTATAATAAATATATAAAAATTACCATTTTTATGTATAAACAGATTTGTAAAACTAAAACGGTAATAGTTCCCGCTTAAAAGATTGTGTTTCATGGAATAGTACATTATGATATAAGTGCGGTAAGTTGAGAATTACAGCCGAAGCGATTTAGCCCGTGCCGTAGGTGAGGGTTATAAGAAGGCAGAGGCTGTAATTATCAAACCGCACGTATGTCATATGACGTTTTATAACATATTTGCGAGGATATAATACTACCTAAGTACGTACTTTCTGAAGATTAATTTGCAACTTTGTTTGTTTTCCTTAAGATGAAATTTTAATACGCTTGATTGTAAGTATCTATCCGTGGATTTTTCGGGCAAGAGGCTTAGCGTAACCTTTTTCGGCTTCTGGATGGCGGTGTCAAATTAATAATTTCGTTACTACTTGACAATATTTTCAAATAAAAACAATACAGCGAAAAGAAATAACTTTTTACACAGATTAGCGATGCGCGCGCATCAACGCTTTTTTAGGCAAAGGAACAAAAAACAGATAGTGTTACTAATAAAGTAAATTAAAATTTTTGTGAAGTTGTTACCGATAGATGGTTGTAATTTAATGTCAAAATGAATCAAATTAAAGAATTCAATGTTTATATAATATTCTGACATGAAAACTCTTTGCTAAGATTTAAAAAAGTATCGTTCATTTTTAGACGGAACATAATAAGCCGTGCGTTTTACTTTACGTTACCGCACGCGTGTGTGATGAATGTGATAGATTATGATATTGAAATTGGTACAATAAGAGACGCTTTACAAGCAAATGTATTATAAAAATATTGTCTGGTCATCTCGGTCGTCGTTCAAATAATATAATGAGCCTGTTTTGGCATGATTGTCCAAGCATAAAAAACTTATTTGACAAGCGCATTATTTATTATTATTCATTATTCATATCATACGCAGGCGTATTAACTATAGTTAATATAAAATGTAGAGACTTCTGATAATATTTATAAGTTAACACCGAGCTATAGAGCTAGGTGTCTCCATATTCGGTGATCAGTACCCTTAGCACGAACCAATATCGAATTCGTATAGTTTGCGAGTGCGAAATGTCCATGTCAAATTTTGTATGGATCTGCTCCTAACTCCCGGTATCTTTGGGTATGCAGACGACAGCACAGTTTCGGAGAGATATCTGCCGGATGTGAAGTCTGATGCAGATGTCCGATCATTAAGGGAGGCGATGGTGGAGGGAGTGAATGCAACCCTGGAAGCTGTTTCCCTCTGGGGTGAAGCAAACTTGGTTGGTTATAATTTTTATTATTTTTAAAGCATGTAACTGCTTGATGTTTAAATCTAAAGAAAATATAACTAGAAAAAAAAATTGTGGGTTACCTATAATGCGAAGAGATGGCGCTACCTTGCAGCTTAAGAATGGCTAGAAGAATTTCGACGCGGTCCGTGAGGGCCGCGGTAGCATAATTGGTCAGTGCATTCGCCCGGATTGCGAAAGGTGCGGGTTCGAGTCCCGTCCGCTGCCTGGTCCGCGTGGAAGTTTTTCTAGTTATATTTTCTTTAAACTTGGTTGGGTTTAATCCCTCAAAAACACAGGCCTGTCTCTTCTCGACGAAACGGAGTCCATTCCATCTGACTCCGACTTTCCGAAATGTCTCCGTGCCGGTTAAAGACCATCTCGAGCTCTTGGGTATGGACATCTCATCCAGCCTCAATTTCGGTCGCTACATCGAGTCCATTGCTAAAACCGCTGCCAGAAAACTTGAATACTTTCTAAAGTCGGGCGATATTTTACATCTGAGCAGCTCCTTAACCTTTACCGAGCCCAAGTTCGCTCCTGCTTGGAGTACTGTTGTCACCTTTGGGACGGATCTGCTCGGTATTGGCTGGATGCACTGGACTCGGTGGAACACCGTGCGAAGAGACTCATAGGCAATGACGCTCTCGTTGAGGCTAATCTCCGGAGCCTTGACCACCGAAGACGTGTAGCTTGCCTCTCGGTGTTTTATCGGTTACATTTCGGAGAGCGTGCGGAGGTATTACATAATTTGATCCCCCCTTCCCCTTTCCACCACCGGACGACCAGGCGCGGCGAGGGCTTCCACCCTTATGTTGTCAAAGTTCCTCCCATTCGCACGAAGCGATTTGCTTCGGCCTTCATTATGCGAACGGCTAGGGAGTGGAACTCCTTGCCGAGGTCTGTTTTCCCGGACCAATATAATCTGGACATCTTCATGGCCAGAGTGAACAGGCATCTTCTAGGCAGGCGTGTACCATCCTAGGCCTCATCATCACTTTCCATCAGGTGAGATTGTGGTCAAACGCATTGCCTATTATGCATAAAAAAAAATGGAAACTTAAACAGCAGCGCCACAAAGTACGTAACCAGAACTAAACATCACTACACATTTGACAATGACATTTCAGACTCGCAAACGTTAAGAATTCGATATTGGTTCGTGTTAAAGGTACTGTAACCTGCTCTTGTTTTCATTGATCACAGAAAGAAATGTCGGTTCTTGGCTTCTGTCGGTGATTGATGCCACTACCTTACTTAAGTTTAAGTAGGATTATGCCAGAACTAGGTCCACTATTAATAGTAGATTATGCACCAAGGGGATAAAGCAGTGTATTATGTCACGGCAGCATCATCATCATCAGCCTTCTAATATCCCCACTGCTGGGGCACAGGCCTTCCCTATGGATGGAATGTGAAGATTGGGCCACAACCCACCACGCGGGCCTTGCGAATGGGTGGGTGCTAACGACTGCAGATGCAACCGGGCCTAACGGCTCAACGTGCCATCTGAAGCACGAAGGAGCTAGAGATAGTAAATTTTGGTCACCCATCTGACCGACCACTGCGAAAGTTGCTTTACTTCAACGATCGCAGCCGAACGCGCTTACCACTTGCGCCATCGGGCTCCCACGGCAGCATATATGTAGTTAATTCCCGAACGTTAAGAATCCTGCATGAAGCGAAGTATTTTCTGCCCAAAGTTGTCACTTTTATACCCGAGGAGCATACTCTACTGCATACACCTAATATCTTAAATATAAAATTCTCGTGTCACAATGATACCATACTCCTCCGAAATGGCTTGACTGATTTTATACGCATATTCAGTAGATCTGAGAATCGGCTACTATCTATTTTTCATACCCCTAAGTGATAAGGGTTGTCTACCCGTAACATTTCTTTTTTGGATTTTTTTTATGTGGCATTAAAAAATACATACAACCCTAAATTTTCTCCCGTCTACCACCAACCCCTGATTTTTATGGCGGTACGAAGTTTGCTGGGTCAGCTAGTAAGGTTATATAAAAAACCGGCCAAGTGCGAGTCGGACTCGCGCTCGAAGGGTTCTCTACATCAAACCGCGAAAGAAAAATAATTTGTTTGTTTTCTTTAGAACTTACAAAGTCAGTGTTTATACAGCATAATATGGGACATCATTACCAATATTTTACATTCCTAACTAGTTTCTATTTTGACATAGACCATGGGGTCTCAAAGCTGTCATTGTTATGGAACAATGACAGCTTTGACGGCTCCCCATTTCTTCGTTCTTGAAGATAAAAAAAAATATTTATATTATAATTATATCCTACTCAATGAGCTGTATCACATTGTAGAGTAAAAATGAAAACAATTTTGTAATTTGCGGTTAAAATCACAGAATGAAAATCACCGATTTATATATTTAGTCCCGTATATTTAGTTTATTTTATATATTTAGTTCCGTAGGTAAAAGAAGCCAAAAAATACAGCCAAGTTTTTGTGATGTATTGAATTTTATAGTTAAAAACTCCTTGGACAGAGGAATTTATGCCTTAAACAGGTTTTTTTTTTGCTATATTAGTAGTAGTTTTAGTTGCTATATTAGTTAGTTTAGATAGAAGTTTCTGTTCACCTTATCAGTTCTTTAAATGTCATTATTACCCAATGGACCTTCCATATAACTTTAACCCCCTCGGGCTATAAAAGCTTACTTTAAGGTCCATTTGCAGCAATTTTCCTAAATCTCAATTAATCTAGAACTGGATTTAGGCCATACTATAATGCATTAAAGGCAGTTTTACTTGAATCGTGGTTTAGAAAATTTGCTGCAAGGAGGCCTAAATTGAGATTACATGAAATATAATACGCGCTCCAGATGCAGGTGGTGGTTATAGTAATTTCATCATCATCATCATCGACCCATGCTCGTCCACTGCTGGACATAGGTCTCCCCTAATGCACGCACTATTAATGAGGGTTCGGACCATAACCCACCACGCTGGTCCAGAGCGGGTTGGTGGGTGGTTTCGCCAGGGCCTCGTCTGTTATACAGCAGGACGCACCGCTTGCAGGGGAGGTTGACTTGGGACTTGGGACCCGAAAGATGTTGTGTAGGCCCCCTTGCGTATAGTTATTTATTAAATAAAATCTTAATTACATAAAACAGCCATGGATGTATGGTTGTTTTATGTAATTAAAACTATAAATCTAGTATAGTCTTTATCTTTATTTTTTCTATTCGTCAAATAAACTTCCTTGCCGTGCAACCTAACGACAGTGACCGTTGACCCATGTAGTATATAAGTAGTGATTCATTATTGTTGTTTCCCATAGGGGCGTGTTAAATTAGGAGCTTTAAAAAATTTACCGACGTTTTTTATTTTTCGAACCATCTCGACACGTAACAGTACTTTACTATCACTGGTCTTGATATCATAGTGATATGTGCACGCTACATGCAGTGCGCCAAGCATGTCACAAGTATATCAACATATATAAGGGAAACATATCAGTAAGTATTTTAGTCAACATAATGATATCAAGGCGGTGACAAGATACGGGCACGTAGTTTTTTTTTTGCAAGCGGATTGTTGATTAATTGGAGATTGTTTTTCTATTTGTGCTGTTAACTGCAACTGAACTTTAGGAAATTTTAAGAGGTAAGCAAAATTTTATTTTATTTGTTTTAAAAACTTTAAACTTTTAGGTTCTTCAAAAATTAGAAAGTCGAAAACTGTGAAAGTAGAAAGCTTTACATTTCAAATTCATTACATATGTTCTTATAAAAATATATGAATATATAAACGATTTTGATATAATTCATTCTAAAAAATGCAATAAAATAAGATTTTTAATAATTTTGACTAGACATTGTTACACAAAATAATAATTTTCATACACTTAAAAATATTATTCAGTTTAATATTTTCCGATTACATTAAAAAATAAAATCAATTAGTATTTTAATTTTAAACATTGTATTCTTATCATATTATATTCATTTAAAATAATAGACAAATGAAACTTTCTAAGACCCCTACAGAGATACTCGCTTAGAGCTAAGAGCTTCCACCTTAATTTATAAACGAAGAATAAGTTACACGGTTTTTAGTTCACATCACTAAAATGACATTTGTAATTCGATCGACAATGATGATGATGTTCTCCGTAACTAGTTTAAATGCTCCATTTATTAAAACGGTGGATAGTGACTTATCATGGTTGTTGCCGACATTTATTGATAGATTTAGTTTTTATAGCCAAAGTCATAAATATGTCAATACTTTAAAAAACACTTCAAAAAACTATAAAAACTAAATCTATCAAAAAAGTTCGGCAACAATGGTGATAGAATAAGATCCTAGAGCCGTTAGTTATTATCTGATGGACAAAGTATGGACAATAGAGTAGTATTGTACCTGTACTGTAACTTTACTGTAGGCCAATTCTCAGATATCGGGTGGCACAGGTGCGTAAAAAATTTGCTCACTTACAGCCTGAGGATTGATTCTTATGTATGTTGTAGCGAATATTGCAGTCATAGTTAAGCTTGTCGCGATGCTCTTTATATTTGGTCTTAGCCTAAGTACTTTGAACACAACTGCGCCGAAGATGACATACTTTTGTAGAAGCAAATCTCCATAATCTGCTTACTATATTAGTACCAACAAAAGTGCACGAACACGTTATAGACTCTATCTAGGTAGTAATGTCTGATTTATTTGTCGGTAACTGTTAGCGATTCAGAACCTTCGGTAGTTTCTGATACCTAAGTACTAAATAAAATAAAATAAATCGGCCAAGTGCGAGACGGACTCGCACACGAAGAGATCCGTAGTATTATACTTGTATATGTAGCACGTGATATGAATAAACTTTATAAGTTTTTCTGTAATATGCAAGCAAAGAGCTACACACCATATTTTTTTCAAATTTTTAGACGCAGTTGTTTATTTTATTAAACTGGGGAGTATTTTTCTGTGGGGCTTGATTAAATCTGAAAACGGCTGATCGAATTTGAATAACATTTTGCACACGTATAAACTATATGTTACCTGGCTTGAGAAAAAGGATATTTTTTATCCAGGAAAAATATTAGGTTCCCCTGAGTTCTCAAAATACTAAAGTTTACACGCATGAAGTCGCGGGTGGCAGCTAGTATAAAATATGGAATAATTAAATTAAATTATAATAAAAAAAAATCCATCGGTCTTTCCTTCTGATGCGTGGTTGCTTTGTGATGTATGTAGGCAATAAGCAAACTGTTGTCATTATCATATTATTCGCCTTGTACAATACATTACTTTAAACACAATGATTTCCTTCAATCGCTATCAATTTATATGTCTACAAATGATATTCATACGTAAGTCGCACTAAAACTCTCAGACAGAATGAAAAAATACTGATAATAATGTTGTTTTTCTTAACCGATTAGCATATTTTCAGATGTATAAATCAATTTTGAAAACATGCTTTTTAAATATTCTTCGTCAATGCCTTCTTGTAGCGATATAATTCATTGAGCGCCCTAAATGTTACTTAAACAGGAAGAAATTGATGCAGGATGCTAAAATGTATTACGCCACTGGCAGGACCACTAGTAATATTTTAACATTTAAAATTTTTTCGTTCGCTCCGTTCGAAAATAGGGACCTACTCTATTTTCGCTGAAAGTGCGACTCGCCCGTGATATCCCGAAGTTATGGGCCACGAGGACGTATGAGGGCTCAAAAACTTTGAGGAATTTAAGGGCTTTAAGAAGATGTTATTTTTTTATAAAAGTCAAAATCTTTTTGGAAATCGAAAAAAAACCTACTTTTTTCGTCCGAAAAATCGTGTGTTTTCACAGAAAATTTCCGATATCTCGAGAACGGGGCCGTATTTCAAAAATATGAAAAAAATCACCTCGGGGTTGAACCAAGGAAAATTTTAGGTCATTACACTTCTTTCGATATTGGTGACGGTTGAGGTGCCCTTAGCTGCTAGTTTTGCGCGGCGAGAGGTGCAATATCACGCGGGCGGCGACTAGCATGCGGCCACGAGGACGTATGAGTGCTCAAAAGACGAGGAATTCGATGGCTTGAGGATGATGTAAAAAAAATCTGGAAAAGTTGGTTTTGAAAATAAAAATATTTTAATATTCTTTAATAGTTAGATTCAATTTCAATGCCCTTTCAAGTCGTGTAGAGCACGTGATTTTTTTCTGTTTCAAACATGTTATTATCTGCAGTCTAGTATTGTCATGGTGCAAAATGATACGTTACTTTGGTTGTTTTACGGAGTTCGTCAATACCTTCCGGAAAACAATGATCGCGTATCACACGCAAATTTACTACGACGCGACCAGCCAGTACAAAAAGCCTTAATATGTCTCATTTTATTTAAAAAAAGTAGGTAACAATAAGGGGATAAGGGGATGCCCTTATCGACAGACAGCACACTGGCCACTTTGGTTTCGGCTCATTGTTTTGATATCGTACTCGAAGCTGTGAGTGTATGTTTTGTCACCTCTCAGTATATCCTACACCAAACTTCATGCCTCCTTGTTGAATTTGGTGAACATGACTGCACCACAAAATAGACAGTCTGTACTGTCTATTTTGTGGTGTGGTGGTAATCTAATATTAAAATCTATCGCGGTAGTGGCACTCGCACCTAGTTGTTTGATTTACTGTCGAAAATGACGGACTACCAGTCTATCCAATGTTTTCAAAAGGAAAGAGGTTAAGCCAATTGGTCTAAAAGATTTGGCTTATGTATAATCGTCTCAGCCCGGTTTCGGTAAGAAGACTGCATTTGCCTCCCTCCGTGGTTTCAGTATATAATTGAAGGCCAGGCAGGCCTTAAAGATTGTTTCATCATCATCATCTTCATCATCATCATCAGCCTAATAGTGTCCCACTGCTGGGGCACAGGCCTTCCCTACGGATAGAATAAGGATATTAGGCCAATTCCAAAGATAAGATAGGATTGGTTGCAGGTATTTATGCCCTTCTTGTAGTGTTTTTGTGCTATTTTATATCTGTCCCAGTCCTCATTGCCTCTGGTGTTTAGCTCAGTTGAAAAGTGCAAATTTAATTATGAAAATTGCAACTGCTACCTATTACTACAGATACAGCCCTACAGAGATGGACGGGTTGATGGAGAAATGGACAGACGATCAGCAGAGACTTAGTAATAGGGTTCAAATGTTGGATTACCCACCCTCCATCATTGGGATGCTTAAAAAGTGCAGTACTCTAAAAATTGAAATGGCCGCACACAAACATTGAGCTAAGTAACAACCAAGATTACCTACCTTATAATTTATATTCAAATTAACTGAATTTATTAACACATTCATATATACATTAACTCTATGAAACCAGTTTCTTTTGTTGTTTTGTAATTAGCAGAGCATTTAATATTCAAGTACGACATATTACATACACACAATTACATAAATATCCACAACTAAACGACAGGCACTATCTTTCGCATCGCTAAGCCCTTAAATAGATTTGATTCGGAAACAACAGTGATAGGTTGCCAATATAATCCCCACAGTAGTTTCCAAAATTACTCCATCCAATGACAGGCTTTTATTACCTGCACAAAAAAGTTTGCAGTTGTCGTATTTTTTATCATCACCAGCAAATTAAACTTTTTTTGAACTGGTTTTTATATGTTTTAACGTGTGAAGTTACTTTAAGTTGATTTTAATGTGAACTCATGTAGTACATAGGGCGCTTTTTTGTGTGTATGGTGTATTATAACCTCGATTACTAGAGCTTTGGGCTGCGAGAGAGGTCACTTCCAACTGAAATATGGCGAGTGGCTCTAGTAGTTCTTTACGCGAGGGTCCCCTTCGAAAGGGGGAATTAGGTGTAGTTTGACACATGAGCAAAGTCCGCTCATGTGAGTGACCAAGTCACATGAGCCTGCGGGGAGTCTCTCATGCTAGCTGTACACAGTCGCCAAGAGCCTTTTTTCGAGACTTTCGCTCGAGGAGGCACTCGACAAGTGAGTCATGCTTGCTCTGATTTTCCTCGCTAGATCCAACCAGATCCTTTGACTCGGACTCAAAAACAGACGAAAAAAGTAGTATGTTTTACTAAAATTTAGGTGTAGTTTGACACATGAGCTAAGTATCGCACACCTTCGAGTTGCTTTTGGCGATCAAGCACTATGCAAGTAATCTCCTACCACTGTGTCAACAAAAACAAAATGCTGTACGCCTTAGGGTCTAAACGGAGTTCTCGTTGTAGGTTATACCATGAGATTTGGGCAACCTTAGGATAAGACTGATACAATAAATTTTATAAAAACTTAGGTATGAGAATACCTTTTGAATGAATGAATGAATGAATAACTTTATTGTACACCATGAGATTGTAAATTACAATTAATTAAGACTATTATTATAGTACAAATGACGGCCTTATCGCTAAGAAGCAATTTCTTCCAGGCAACCGTATGTTAACTGGACTGTTACATAGAGAGTGGGAAGTAGATGGTGTCATTTAAAGTAAAACTACCATTAATAATACTTATAAATAAGTATATGTACAACAAAAACTAAAATACAAATACATAAACATAATAATTATATCCATATATAAACATAATAACAATTTAATCATACTTTGGATGATGTGATGACTAGCTAAAGTGTCAGGTAATGTTCCTTTAACATTTTTTTAAAACAAGGTAATTTTAACATTTTTTTAAAACCTCTAATTGTTTCCGGCAAGGCATTCCACAAACGAGCAGCCTGAACTATAAATGACTTGTCCATAAATTTCGTGGAGTGCATTTGAATCTCGAGTGTTAAATTCTCTGACGATCTCAAAACACGAGCATGTGTATCATGCAGGAAATTAGAACGGTCCTTGAGATAAGATGGAGTAAAGGGATTAAATAATATACTGTAGAGAAGGGAAAGGATATGCATGTTTCGGCGAAGACGAATTGGCAACCACTTGAGCTTAGTGCGGAAACCGGATACATGATCATATTTGCGCAAGCCAAATATGAACCTAATACAGAAATTTTGAAGCCGCTCAAGTTTATTCAGTTGCTCCTCAGTTAGGTCTAGATAGCTGACATCATCATAGTCCAAGATTGGTAGGAGAAGAGATTCTGCGAGCGCAGTTTTAGTAGCAATTGGAAGAAAATTACGTAACCTTTTCAAGGAACCAGCTGAAGCAAACATTTTACGGCTTGCTTCCTGTATTTGAGATGCCCAATTAAGGTTCTTGTCTATTATAACCCCCAAATTTTTTACTTGGTTACTTGGTGACAAAGTATTACCGTCGAATTTAAGCGTTGGTAAACCTGCCCAGTCGATTTTATTAGTCATTGCGGGGCTGCCAATCAAAATAACCTGAGTCTTCAGCGGATTAACTTTTATGCCGTAAAACTTGCTCCATTCACAAATAATTTCCAGATCGCGGTTGACTGTGGTAATTGCAGAGAAAAGTTGATCAGGTTAAGCTTGATAATAGATTTGCAAATCATCTGCGTAAAGGTGATAGGATGAAACTAGTTTGGATGAAATGGAATTGATAAATATAGCAAAAAGTAATGGAGATAAAACGCCACCCTGTGGCACACCAGCAGAAATATCACACCAGGAGGAAAATAAATCCTCAATGCGAATTCGCTGTCGGCGACCAGACAGGTAACTACGAAACCAGTCAATTACTGCTGGAGATATGTTAATAGAACGTTATATACCAAGTAAAATGTCAAAGTCAACGGTGTTAAATGCGTTGGAAAAATCAAGTAAAGAGAGAACCGTTACTTTTCCATGTTCCATACCTGACCTGATGTCCTTTGTAACATTCACTAATGCCGTAGCGGTACTATTCGGAATCCTGATTGGAAAGGATTTAGGAGTTGATGTTTAATTAGGAAAGATGACAGCTGATTATGAACAAGGCGCTCCAAGACTTTGGAAAGCAATGGCAGTATGGAAATTGGTCTGTATTCTGAAAAGGACGATGGTTTTGACGTCTTAGGTAATGGAGTTACGTGAGCTTCTTTCTAGGCAGAAGGAAAAACACCAGTAATTATGGAATGGTTAAGGATGTGAGAGAGAATAGAGAGGATTTCTTCTATAACAAGGATAATCATTTTCCTGCTGACACCGTCACTTGCTAGATAAGTCAGAACATTGAGGAGAAGTGCTTATTAAGCAAATCGACATTTAAATTACTAAAAGAAGATGCTTGATGTTATTTGCCTATGCCCAAAGACCTTAGAAATTTCCATACCTTCGTCGGATCTTCGTCTTCAATGGACTTGTGTATATACTGGAGTTGTGCATTCCTACACACCTTATTGCATTGATTGCGAACCTTAACGTACTTTTCCCAGTTGGAAGGAGTGGGCGGCACTTGTCGACAAAATCGAACATCAATTAAAAAGAATGATTTTTACATACCCCTTAAGGACGAAGAAAAAATATTATTCTTCGTCCATAAGGGGTATGTAAGGTTATGTTTAGGACAACCTCAATATAAAATGTCTTAGTGTAGCTATCATTTTCTGCTCCATTTCATGCTTCATTTCATAAAAAGTCCCCAAGAATTATAGAATTCAATTTTGTTTTAATCTAAGATTCAAATATATGAATTACGAAATCTGTGGTAGGTATAATGATTATAATTAGGCGATTTAAGAACTATAATAAAACTAATAAGATGGGGAAAAAGTCTTTTCGCATTAAAATATGTATGAACTTGTAATAAATCTCCTTAGCTATACAATTTGCATCTGGCTGGTTTTGGTATCGTTAAAAAGTTTAAATTTTAAAGAAGATAATTTCAAATTCAAATTAGAAAAATGTGTGATTTTCATTTGTTTTTCTTACTGTCAAGATGAGTTATTCTAATGAAGAAATTCGATACATTCGTGTCGTGCCAATAAAAAAATGATACATTTTAAAAAAAATACTACGAAAAAGGTAAAAATGCAACGCAAGTGGTGGAACAATTTTGTGATGTTTATGGACCTAGTGCAATGTCTGTAAGAGTAGCACAAATTTGATTTAAGCGTTTCCAATCCGGATATTTTTATGTCAAAGTTGCACGTCGCTCTGGTCGCCCTGTTAAGGATAAAATTGATGCCATTTATGAAAAAGAGGCATATCAGCAGTTATGAAGTGGCTGAAGATCTGGTAATTGACCACAAAACAGTTTTGGCACATTTAAAAAAAGCTGGGAACACAAAAAAGCTCGATATTTGGGTACCTTACGAGCTCACTCAAAGAAACGTAACGAACCGTGTACTCATTTGTGATTTTTTATTACGGCGTAATGAATCCAAACCATTTTTGAAGTAGCTGATAACTGGTGATAAAAAGTTGATCACGTACGACAAGAATGTTCGAAAAAGGTCGTGATCAAAGGCCGGTCAAGCTTCACAGACACTGGCGAAACCCGGGTTAACTCGCAACAAAGTGATGCTGTGTGTATGGTAGGATTGGAAGGGCATTATTCAGCTGTTACCGCCAGGCGAACAACTGATGAGATTGAAGCAAGAAGTTGATAGAAAGCGGCCGGAATTCAATTCAATCAACAGAAGGGGTGTGGTTTTTCATCATGACAACATAAGACCTCACACATCTTTAGCCACTCAGCAAAAATTAAGTTTGACTGGGAGATGTTAATGCATCCGCCGTATAGTCCTGGCCTTGCACCTTCAGATTTCCACCTGTTTCGTTCTCTTCAGAATTCTTTAGGCAGTTTCAGTTACATCACGAGAAGACTGCCAAAACCATCTGTCGCGGTTTTTTGATTTGAAGCCCCAAAATTTCTGTAGCAATGGGATCATGTCCCTGCCTACAAAATGGCAAAAAGTTATGGAACAAAATGGCACCTACATACTTTATTTAAATGTAAATAAACTTTATTAAAAAATGTTGTGAATTTTCATATGAAATGCGAAGAAACTTTTTCCCCAACCTAATATTTATGTAAATTGACATTGGAGTTGTAACTTTCCATTCTTTCGTATTGTATTTTATCTGCATTATACAGATGATTGACAAAGCGTTAGATGTCCCCCATTTAAGGAATCACCTGTGCTTGAGCTATCTTGGAAACCTAACGGCGTTTAGTTTTTCTTTTACTTTAATTGTTTTATATTCGTTTCAGTAGCAAAACTAGTAGTAGTGTTTGCTCGTCAGAAGCTATTCTAGAAGTGATTGTAAAAACTGTAACGAAAGACGCGCATGCGGCGTTCGCACCGTGACAATGCGGCGTGCGCGCCGTAAGCCCCTCTGTTACGATGTTCATCGCATTGTCGCGGCGCGCGCGTCGCTCACACGCCCGAACGACATGCACTGGGACGTAGTGCATGCTACATATTGGTAGCCTTAGGTATAGTAGGCAAATACTACAGACAAATTTGATGTAAGCTCACTAGAATAGTGATGATGTAAGATTAAAAAACAAACTGTTGTTTTTTTTCTGAGTTTGTATTTTTTTTAATTATTTTTTCTTTGAGAAATAAATATTTTATTAAGGTATGTTATGTCTGATCAGATGTATTGCTTAAAAAAACGAACATTCTTCAATTCTGTTCAGTGCGTTTATACTTCAAACAATGATAAACCGAACGAGGAATTCGAGAAGTTTTTCCATACGTCGCGTCATCAGTGTTGCGGATTGTTGAAAGCTTGGTTGATAATTTTAAATCAAAAAAGTGTGGTAGGTTTTAAAATAAGCAGAAAACTTTAATCTTTAACGGAAACTTCCTTAGGAAATCTGTACCCGTGAAAAAAAAACATACTCCATAACGTTGTAAGTTCTTTTTTTCAGGTTCTCTATCAACGTTTTTTTTCCACGGTAGATTTTTTTTTATTGCATCTCTTCACTAGAATCTTTTCAATGAAAAGAATGAATAGAAAGACTCTCATGTTTTATTCGACTGCATCGTCAATCTAAGATTTTTCAATGATACCACCTTTTTCTACTAACAGTTTTCATTGGAATGACTACAGCACTTCGGTTTAATAATACGAACAATGTTACCAAATCCCAATTTCCAGAGATGTCCTAATCTAAAAATAGACTTTCTAGCTAAATACTTTAGTGTGTTATAAAACCGACAAAAAAATTTACTTAAAAAAATCGACGCGGCCAAGGAAGCAGGCGTGACTTCAACCAGCACCCTCTGCTATCCGGGCGGAAGCACACCCATATAATGCGAAGAGATGGCGCTGCCTTGCAGCTTAAGAAGGGCTAGAAAGAATTCGACACGGCTATCAGGGCCGCGGTAGCTTAATTGGTCAGTGCATTCGCCAGGATAGCGAAGGGTTCGAGTCCCGTCTGCTGCCTGGTCCGCGTGGTTTTTTTTCTAGTAATATTTTCTTTAGACTTAACTATCAAGCAGTTAAAAGTGTATCAGTGCTTAAAAATTTAAAAATTCTACCTATTATCATTTACGTTTAATATTTTTCTTTTCATAGACAAAATGCCGCCTCAAGGGCAAAAAAAGGATTCCTGGGTGTTGTATGAAACTGACGCCAAAGACGAAGATGTGACCCACCATGTGCCTCCCTCTGCGGAGAAGAGGGAACTGAAGATCGTATGGAGGAACGTGTTCATCTTTCTCTACCTTCATATAGCTGCCCTGTACGGTGGATATCTTTTCCTCACCAGTGTCATGTGGAAAACTAGAATTGCCAGTAAGTTTAGTTTTTGAACTCCTAGTACCTAAAAAAATATATAGAGTGGGTACATTAATTAAAGCCTAAATTAAGTCGATACAGTTAACATAAATTTGCGACTACCTAATGATTATGTACGGATATTGTTTTGAATAAAATTTATTTCTGATGGCATTATAAACCAAATCTAATAAGCTTTGGATGCTTTCACTCTTAAATCATGTACTTAATCTTGCATATATAGATAAATGTTTTTAAAAAAATATAAAAAAATAAATAGTGAAAAAGTTTTACCTATTAATCCCTGCTAGGCTATTATTATAAACCGGTCGAATCGGTTTTGATGAATTTTCGTATGGAGATAATTAATAGTCTAGTATCTATATTTTTTGTCACGAAAATAGAACGAAGACGAAGTTGCTGATAGCGGCTAGTAGGCATAAATTTAAATGTCAAATTAAAATAATCACGATTTAGAGTGACAATGAAACAGAAGAAAGATGTTTAAAATTCCGAAATCATCGAGTTGAAAGTACAAGTTAAATGAAAATCAAAAAATCAATATCGTTTATTCAGTCTAGGCTGTTACAAGCACTTGTGAATATCGGAAAGCTACGCCATCGGTTTGCAAATCTACGGCGGGAGACCTTGTACTGAGAAGAACCGGCAACAAACTTAGCCAGGGCTGTTTTTCCCCTTTATTATATACATATTTATTATATTACAGAGTCGTCAAATTGAAAAATGACTTCAATAAAAGGGAACTCATGAAGTCACTTTCTATACAACTAAATGTAACAAATTATCTCTGTCTATAATTCCATACCGAAATAATTATAAATATCGGATTTTCTAGATATTTAATAACAACTCTACCTTTTTGAAAAGCTTTAATGGCGCAGTTTAGTTAAGCGCATTCGGTCTGCGATGGTAGAATTTTCGCGATAGCCGGTCATTGGATGGGTGAACAAAAACTTAAATCTTGAAAAAAAAACAGCCCTTGCTGAGTTTCTTGCCGGTTCTTCTCAGTACAAGGACTCCCGCCGTAGATTTACGAACCGATGGCGTAGCTTCTAGACATTCATATGTGCTTGTAACTGCCTAAACTGAATACATGATTTTGGTTATGATTATGAGCTCCTGCGTGTTTTGGAGGGCACGTTAAGCATTGATCCCGGCTGCATTCATTTCCTCCTTATCCATTCCTATTCTATCTATACGGAAGGCTAATGATGATGTTTTTTTTATTTAGCTATCATCCTGTACGTGATATCGGGGCTTGGGATAACGGCCGGTGCTCATAGGCTCTGGGCGCACAAGTCCTATAAGGCGAAGTTGCCTTTACGCATCTTGTTAACCTTCTTCAACACTCTGGCATTCCAGGTAGGTCATTTCTATTTCACTTAAATTAGTATCATTACGTGATTAGCCATTATGATTTAAAACTCTCTATAATAGTTATTTATGAAATTGGTGCGGTAAGTTGGTTATTACATTCGTCTACTCGCGACTACTCTATGGTAAGCCATAGTCGCGAGTTTGTAAATACCAATTCTGCACGAATGTCATACAAAGTTTTTCAACACATTTGCGAGAAAACAGTATAATTACATTATAATTTTTAAGTAATGAAGCAAACTTTTTCTAATAAAAAAATGGCGCGCATTTCCAAATGGCGCCACGTGCGGGTGGAAAAATTATAAGGTTTCTTAATAGTATTAAAGTGAGAAAAAAGGTATAGATTAAAAGCGCTTCCAAGGAGGTTCGTCCGAAATTAAAATATCACGCACGGATACGCACGGCGCCATGTATGGGAGCGTCCGGTAAAACGTTTTACCGCACGTTTCGTTGTATGGACCGTAATTTTGAACTTTTGAACAATGTATACAACCTCCTTAAATGCATTTTTTTAAGCAAATGTGTTGAAAAAGTCATATTGATGCAAATACGCAACTTCACAATATGAAAGCACGTGGTCAACAACTCGTTATCTGAGTAAAAACTTAAACTTTTTGTAGAAAATTATTTACATAATACGTACAAGGCGCATGATACTACATCTGCTGGTATTAAGTTTTTATTTATTTATTCATTATTACCAAAATACAGTAAATGGCGGACTTAATGCCATAGGCATTCTCTACCAGTCAACCAGTATAGGTGTATGAGACGGGTGGATGGGGAACGGATTTGGCAATAGAATGCAAAAAAGTGTTTACTTCTTATTCGCTGGTTCTTTTTTTCACTACTCCCACGATTATCCCACTTCAACAGCTAACTAGAGCCAAGGACCGAGTCTCAGAGACGCCCACTAGTTTAGCCCACCCCCTCAGATTCGAGTGGTCTAGAGGTTCCAGACGGAGAGGAGGGGAGATGGCATCCGCTTGAAATACCTCTAAAGGCACTCGCCAATTCTCGGCTTAAGGTCCCCTTATTATCTCGCCGTCCCCAAGTCCGGTGACACTGTAAAGGTCATCTGCGACCACATGACACACAAAAAAGCGGGATAGCTTTGATCTTGCCATCCCTTTCCTCCGGAAATCTCTGAAGTCTGTTGATGTTGCTGCTTAAAAGTGAGTGAAGTGAGTATGTTTTGAGTCTTGAAGATAAGGCACATCATTGTTTTGGAATTAGGACTAATAAATTTAAAGTTAACAGCCAACCCACGAACTAACAGTTATCGTACAAAGGCCTTCTTCTCATTTCCATTTAATCCTTCTTTTTAATTGTCTAAACGACATATTTTCGTAACCGATGTTGCAATATCATGTAGCTAGTTCAAATTACAATTCCTGAAGGTGACTCATATAATAAAATCATTTTTGATTCGACATGATCACCGCGTGAAAAGATAACTCCGTTATTATTTGACCTACATCAAGAGTTCATCTTATTTTTATCGCTATCAAATTGCACACCAACTAAAGTAAAATTAACTTAAAAAAATTATTATATATTTTGCTCACGTAAAGGGTAATGAGTGCTCTTGTATAAATATAGGTATAAAGGAAAAAACGTAATCAATTGATCATGTATGAAACACGCGACACCTTTGACATACATATATTATTATCTTTGCCTAAATGAACATTCAACTCTAACGATAATATTATGGTTACCTATTATACCTGCAAGACAAAGGTCAGTTTTTTTAACCAACTTCAAAAAGGAGGTTATCAACTTTGACCTGTTGGTAGGTTATTGAAATAATATTGGAATTATCAGTCTATCGCAGGACCAGTCCAATCAGGTGCGCTTTTTTCTTACGTGTACAATGTATGTATGTTTTCAAAGGCATTGCTAAAAGACTATAACTCCCCAGCTCCAATGGTTTCTTTTTTTTTAACATTAGCTATATTTTTATATATACATACATGTGTACATTACATTATACCTAGGTCTGAACAAATGACTCCACCCCACTGGATAGAATGGTACATCAGTAAAATCATCAAGCAGTCTCTTTCACATTAAGGAATTATTCAAGTTTTAAAAAACGGTTCATTAGTTTAAAAGATATGGAATATGTATGGACCATTTAATCATTATAACACGGAATTTCAAATACTCAAAATTAAATTTAAATTATTAAAATCAAATAAAACTAGTTTTTTACGGATTTAATGCACGAAACTTTATTTATTTATTGACGTTTCGCAGCCTTTACAGGCTGCGTTGCGTCGTGGGAATGGAGAAAACAGTGGAAAAAATAGATATAATATGCTGTCCAGGACTTTTTGTAGAACTATATATGAGATATAGTTCTACTATACATTATATTTATATAACTTCTATTGATTTTGCAGTGCAGGCCAATATGGCTCGCAAATAGGATTTTTTTTTTCGTCTTACGTTTTACTTATTGTTATATATTTGTTTCTTAGGTTTTCACGCACATCACTCATTAAATAAAACTAGTTTTTACGGGTTAATGCACGAAACTTTATTTATTTATTGACGTTTCGCAGCCTTTAAAGGCTGCTTCGTCAGAATCAATTTTTTATTTAATTTTGTCGAGCTACCTTCGAAAGACTTTTATTAAGCGTTCGGTTATTTCATTGTTCGATTTTTAAAGTTTTATTGTCTATATATGAATTTATTACTTAATTTAGTTAATAAAGTACTTTATTTAAAAATCTTTTTTGTAATTTTGAATTTATTTATTTGTTTATGTTAAATTATGCATAAGAAAAAGGAGATAGAAAGCCTCTCTTGAGTTTGTTTCGCCGGTTCTTCTCAGAAAGGTCTCCCAATTTATTTAGTTTTCCTCTGTTTCTTATACCATTAGACCAGGGTCGATAATTTTAAAAATGGTGAAAAGTGAAAAAAAATTATAGTAGGATGAAACCCATTACAAAAGGTAGAGAATATAACAAAAATGAAAGGAAAAATAAATTAGGGGCGATCTGAGGTCGGGAAGGGGGAGGGGGTGAGTTTTTAAGGGTAAAAAATGGTTAATCTCGATTTACGGTAAAACTGCAAGACCTATGAAAAAAAGTTAAATGGCAAAGTTGTAGGTAATAAAAAGATCTACAACTTTTGTATGGAGTTTTTTTCATTATTAATTTGCAGTTTCTGAGAACATTTACCATAGTAGTGTATATTTGTTTATACCATCAGAAAGTAGAGATTTCAACAAACAAAAAACACCCCAACATTTTTAAAAAAGCAGATATTTTGACGTGAGAATTTTCGATTGAAAATAAGGGTGCATTTCGATATTAAGTCAAAATAAGGTGAAAAAATGAATATTTTAAATCAAAAAAATTACTGTATGTTTGGGACATACAAAGGTAAGTTTTCACCAAATTTCGTGAAAAAATATTTTTTTTTGCAAAAAATAAAAATCAAAAACCAAAAACTCGGTTATTCGCATTTTTCACATAAATTTTGAGGTTATGTGAAAAAAGTGTCGATACAAAAGTTGTAGATCTTTTTATTACCTACAACTTTGCCATTTAACTTTTTTTCATAGGTCTTGCAGTTTTACCGTAAATCGAGATTAACCATTTTTTACCCTTAAAAACTCACCCCCTCCCCCTTCCCGACCTCAGATCGCCCCTAATTTATTTTTCCTTTCATTTTTGTTATATTCTCTACCTTTTGTAATGGGTTTCATCCTAATGTAATTTTTTTTGGTCTCAAAAATTATCGACCCTGGTCTACATGGCCAATAAAGATTTTTCATTTCATTTCATTTCAATTTTGGAACCGGTGGTAGTTTACGGTAGTTAGGGTCAAATAAATAAATTCAAAATTACAAAAAATATTTTTAAATAAAGTACTTTATTAACTAAATTAAGTAATAAATTCATACATAGACAATAAAACTTTAAAAATCGAACAATGAAATAACCGAACGCTCAATAAAAGTCTTTCGAAGGTAGCTCGACAAAATTAAGTAAAAAATTGAATCCGACGACGCAGCCTGTAAAGGCTGCGAAACGTCAATAAATAAATAAAGTTTCATGCATTAACCCGTAAAACACTAGTTTTATTTAATGAGTGATGTGCGTGAAAACCTAAGAAACAAATATTATTAAAATCACTCAATAACTAAAAGTAAAAAAAAAATATCACATCTATTCGAAAAAAGTATTTTCTCTGTTTACAAGGACCAAAATAGCGTTTTAAACCCTGGGTGGGGATTAAAAGTAATTTGAATTAGGAATGTGGATATCGTTAGTAAAAGTTCCAATCACCAAAGAGATCAATCACGGACATCTAATGAACAAGTCACAGGCTGTATAAAAACTAACCGCGCGCTTATGAAAACAAAAAAGTTTGTGAAAAAATAAAATACGCTTGAAATACATTCATATGCTTTCGTTCATAAATTGTTCAATCAAATTCGGATATTATTTGGTTTAAAAAAATTGTGCGTCTTCCTCAAGTAGTGATAATAATTATATTAACTCCCAAGAACATTGCATCGGACGCTAAAACATTTGAGTTGCATTTACTTATTTTCTCATATAGGATGATAAAAAATCAGTGGCGTAGCTAGGCGTGGACGAAGTGATGTGAGTGATATCTGATGCAGTAGTTACGAAACGCCACACCAACTATCCTCACCTCACCTTGCCGGCCCGCACAAATTCTTCTTCACACCTCTTTTAAAGGACCCCAGATTGTGGGAAGTGCACGCGCGCGGGCAAAGAACTATTCCACTTGCGAAAAATAATACAAAGAAATGAGTTACGAAATTTAAGGCAACGTAGGCCAAGCCGCATGGTTCACTGAAAAAAAGGGAAAGTGGAATAAGGGAGAATAACTCCTCAGAACACTCGCCATGCTATAGGAGAGTAAGCGTTATGATGCCACATCGCAACGTAAATGTGGAGACTCGAGGTTCTTTCTTAGGTCCCTCTGATGGAAGGCGAAGTGGGCGAACGGCGTAGTAGTACGCCGCTGCTACCTATTCAAAACACCAAGTAAGTACTTGGCGGAGTCATCCCAGAGGTGCGAGCAATATTTGATGCAGGATCGAACTTGCGTCTTGTACAACAGATTCAGTTAGGGACACGATATCGAATAGAAAGTATCGATACTGTACTCATGAGTAGTATCGGTAAAAAAGTATCGTACTCGTAAAAGTATCGAAACAAAAGTATCGATACTTCAAAGTATCGAGTACATTTCATAGGGCCTTATCGGAACCTCTGTGGCCTGATGAGCAACCCCCCCCCCCCCTCAGTGTTAAAATAGAAAGAAAAACAATCGAATTTAATTATAGTACGTACGTATAATCAAAAACAAAAAAGGACATGTAAATTCACAAATTGCTATATTATGTAATGAAAAAATAGCTGTGATTTCTGACACTAAAAAAGTGTTCATTAATATTACATTCATAATTAGGTACAATGTTAATTAAAAAGATCGAAATCTTAAACAATTTAAAAGTATGAAACTTTTCAGATTTGTTTCAAATTAAACTTACTTTTCTTGAATTTTAATCATTAAAAAACATTATTCCCACTTATGTTAACTTGAATCTGATACGTAGTTAACGGTTGTCATTGGCATGCTTCACTCAAGATTATTAGAAGAGGTTACGTCCATCTTTTTTTCAGGTGGTTTCAAATAGGTATACACAGCACAGACAGAATAATAGTGTTACACTTGAATAAATCAAATACAGTCAAGCGAAAAGCACAATAAACGGCGAATCAATCACAGTTCCTAACAATATAATCGCTGAATAAATAACTATGAAACAAAACAAACCGCAAAATAAACACAGTCACAGATTGGAAAGAATTTGAATATGTCAGTTACTGACTTTATAACAACGCAATAGGGCATTTGACAGTTTTAAAAATAAAGTGCCAAAATAACGAAAAAGATATTAGTTTTGTTATCTATTGTCACGTAACCCAAAACGCTTGGGATTGGCGGAGCCTAAAAGGACGTCACACGCAAGTAAACTTCCGGTCAAAGTGACATGACATTGTATCGTTTGACGTTTCAATAACAGTCGTGTGACGTTACACACTAGTAAGACGCCATATTGCCCAGAGAAACGTTTTCGCGGCAACTTAAAAATTGAGTTTTTGATTTGGTTATTTTTACTGAAATACACGACAAAATGATGAATATCCACTTTTTACGGACTCCATAAACATTAGTCAATAACGTGAGATCGTTGCCTAAAACTTGTCAAATACCCTATGGAACGTTTTAGAAGGTTTGCTATGATTTAAAAAGATGGCGTTGCCATCAATATGAGGCGCTTATCCAAAATTTTAAAGGTATCGATACTTGCCAAAAAGTACTCATTTAGTAAAAGTATCGAATACAAAGTATCGAGTACAAAAGTATCGGTATCGAAAGGAAAAGTACTCGATACCACAAAGTATCGATACTTTTTTCGTGTCCCTAGATTCAGTAGATCGGACGGGAAAAACGCCGCACCTTGTTTAAGAGTCACAGTTTTCGTGAAGCCCTTTTGATCAAGGTTTCAATGTAGTCCTGTGGATTCAGGTCACAGCGAACTTCCATATCGAGCATGGTAATGTAGCTCTATAGCGCAAGTGTTGTGCCCTGAAGAGAGGACAGGAGAAGGAATGGCGACGTTGATGCCATAAAAGCGCAAAACTGATGTATCTTAGCACTAAAATCAACTAAAATCTTGACACCCCATTGAAATCTGGTCCAAAGTCTGATTGAGTTTAATGACAAGATTCTCCGGTTTCTTCTTGGTTTCTAACCATCCAGTCGCTGCGTGTCCGAAATATCCCGCATGAACTGTATTATCGTCTGCATTTTGCATAGCAATGAATATTTCCAAGAGGAATTAAATCAATAATATGCAGCAGAAAGAGTGCAGGGGAAAGGATGAAATACTGAGGTACACCGGCATTCAGTGAAATGAACTGCGAATTACATCCGTTCATAAGCACGTGAATCCTACGCACATGCAGGAAGTCAGCCTCTTCGGCACAGAATAAGAAAAGAGAGAAGCTTGGGGAGAAGACTTTTGAACCAGACTCAGTTGAAAACCTCGGCAATATCAAGGCTGATAACCAAAGACTGTCACGTAGGCTCATAGTTTTGACCTAAGTCCGTATTGACGAGTGGTTCTCTAGATAGCGGGACTGTCAAACCATGTTTCATAAGAGATTTATTGGGTAGATCTTAAAACTAAAGAAAACGCTCGCGACTTCGCCTACGTTTATATTAGTCCACATATTAGTAAATTGCACTTAAAATCATTCGTATCCTATATCTTCAAAACTAACTGATTTCGTTGAAATTACGGTTTTTCGCTGAGTTGAAAGATCCCTCATGAACCTAATAACAATCTTTGCAATCAGATTTGCAATTCAAAATAAATAGTGCGTATTAAAAATCACGCAAAATTTTTCGTACAAAATAAAAACGAATCACGTGTTCAGAAGATCAAATAGTCGGACATATTATGGAAATATTAGAAAAATCCAAGAAGATTGCAAACATGTTTTATGTCAATGTTGCTTACTTTAACTTACAAAAACAAACATCACGCAAAGTTATAGCGCGGAAACTAGCAAGTTCGATTTATACCTACCATAACATAAGCAATCGCAAATTTAATGCATGGCAGTTCAAGTTCAAATTGCTATTTGGTATATAGATAAAATTGATAACCTCTTTTTTTATATTTCAGTGAAGCATTAAACTGATTGATTGTTATAATTATATTATCTAAATATTTTATTTAAATAAAATTTTACAATATAAATTCAACGCGGACAAGCTATCAGACTAGACAAACTTCATTTTTAAGGCGGTTAAAAAGGTAGACAAATAGGTATAGGGGCTGCCTGATAATATAATCGATCACCAAAAATGTTACCTATATAATAGAATATCTGGCATGTTGCCTATATTGATTCCATGGAGTCCTGTCCTGGCAACCATTTCAGTAAGGAATAAAACACAATTTTTACATTCCGTGATAAAAAATCCTGCCAAAACAGACATAAGAACAACAAATAGGTAATTTATTATTCCTCCTTTATGGCAAATATTCGCAATAAGCTATTTGATAGTATGAAATGTGAAGGACCAATTATTGGCAGCAATTTTATTATTCTGACAAAGACAAGGTGTTCATAATACAATAATGTTTTTAAATCTATTGTTATGTGACCGAAAACGCATAGGATTGGTGAAGCCTAAAATGACTTCACCAGCTTGTAAATGTAAACATTCTGTCGAAATGAAATTACTTTGTACTGTTTCACGTTTCAATGAGAGCCGTGTGACGTCACCTGCCTGTAAGACGCCATATTTGCTAGCGAAACGTTACACATATTTGAAAACAGAATTTTTATTTAATTTTTTTACTTATCCTACACAACGCAGTATGCGTATGAACGTTATCAAAAACTTGTCACTTATTGTGCCTATTGTTACTTTTACAGGATGCAGTTGTGGACTGGGCGAGAGATCACAGAATGCACCACAAATACTCTGAAACTGACGCTGACCCTCACAACGCGACACGGGGGTTCTTCTTTGCGCACGTCGGTTGGCTGTTGGTCAGGAAGCACCCTCAGATCAAAGCCAAAGGAAAAACTATTGATTTGAGTGATCTTTGGGCTGATCCAGTACTTCGATTTCAGAAAAAGTAAGTATTTTTCAATTATTTAGGTACTAAGTATTTTAAAGAATAAGCTGTTCTATACATATACGCTGGCTCCCTTTTTTAACCCCGACGGAAAAGAGGAGTGTTAAAAGTCTTTGGCATCTTAGCTCCTTAACGATAGACTGATTTGAATGCAGTTTATTTTATTTGAAAGCTGACATAATCGAGATGGTTCTTAGCTATAATTTATTAAAATCTGTTTAGATGTTTGAAGATCATCAGCTCATTTCCCATTTGAGGAAAGGCTCTTACAAATTTCACAGTTACTAATTGATTTAGAATTTGCTGCACTTTTGCTTTGGTGGTATTTCCAAGACATGATAACCTATAGGTGATGGCGCAACATCGAGTACTCAACTCCTCAGCTACTTACAGCAGACGTAGCGTGTTTGGGCTCCAAGAGTCCCCTATCATGATCTAGGTGATCATAGTGGAATAGACACATAAGAATGGTCTCAATGAATAAATGATGAGCGAAGCTTTGTTTGTAGTGTGTCTACTGGTAATTTAAAAAATATAAATCAAAATTGAATTTGAAATTTTAAAAATCCTCTGAAACCCAAAAATAAGCTAAATAATGAGAAAATAAAATGTGTTGGCCCTTTATCTTTATTATTACAACACTACTTAGTGATAATTAGACCCAGACTTCTCAAGTCGGGGGATCGCGATTAGGGAGAGCACCAAACAAAAAAGTTTTTTCACTTTTCATACCTAGTAATAATAATTAAAATATCTAATTACTTCTTTAGCGGTCCTCCGACTTGACGATGTCTTGGTCTAACTATTTATTACTGTACATAGATATAATAAAGTTAAAGGGAAAACACATTTTATTATTTTTTGTCATAACTTTGTTTATCGGGCGGGTAGCGGTAGGTGCAGGTTCAAATCCTGTCTGATACCTGGACCGAGGAGTTTTCTTTCTAGTAAAATTTTCTTTAGATTATAAATCTTGCATTTTAATGCTTCAATATAATAAAGTATAATTTACCTCATTATAATAATTATTTATTCTAGAAATCAGAAATCAATATATCTTTATTCAAATTGGATGTATAGTACAACTCTTTTGAATCGTCCAAAATTTTTTTTCCCTACCACTCGTTATGGACATATTTTTAGCTACGGAGAAAAACGAGCGAAAAAACTCTACAACATTAAATGTCTAATGCAACAACATTTACAAATCATTATGTTGTTACAACGTCAATACAATAGGCTAGTTGTCCCTTTTTGGAAAAAGGTTTTAAATGGTTAATAAATGTTCTATTAGACCGAAAAAAAATGTATTGTATTTTTTGAGAACTAGAAAGCTACAAATCTTTAATTTTAAAATAGACTTTTCATGGACATACAAAAAACGCTGTCGGCCATTTTAGTCTATAGATTATCTATGCTATGACGTCAACCTGTAGTAAACAAAAACTCGTTAGCACGTAGAAAATAACTTATCTGAGTATATAATAAAAAAAAACATGATTTCTAATAAATACCACGAAAAATCATTATTGTATTGTACGAGAAAACACATCCTTGAAGACTCCAGGAAAGTTGTGGATTAAAGTGCCGAAAGAAATTAACCTACGCAGATTTATTACACTTATTCATATGTTGTATCTATTTTATGTTTATTACTACATTGATGTCGATTCTGGCATGATTCTCTAAACTTAAAACTTAATTTAACATCAGTCTCACCTTTTCATTCTGTATAGTGTGACAAGGATACACTGTTGTTAAATTAAAGTTTAGGTTTAGAGAATCATGTCAGAATCGATACCAATGTAATACTAAATACACTGTACTTACATAGATGCCTTGTCGTTTCTCTGCTCCGCAGAGCAGAAATCGGGGTTTTGTGCAAAAAATTCACCAACCATCAATGCGTCAATTCTTGGCAGATTTGTGCTTTCTGCTTTCACAAAGCCAGCATCCATAATTAGTTTTGTCAAAAAAAATCAGTAAACGGAAACTTTTCTAAAGTTAAAAGTGTTTTAAGATAAATTTAGTCAGACGAAAGAATCCCACAATAACACGCGAATGACAATTAGTTGTTTACTACAACAAGAGACTTCACAATCATGGCGGATGTGGCGAACAGCGTTTTAGTGTTTAAAAAATATACATTAAAAATATTTTTTTTAAATTAAATTTCTACAGCAATCTTCTGCTTTTATGAAGTGAAATCGATATATTTAGGTAGGAAATAAACATTTATTTATTCCATTCGACATGAGTCAACTAGCCTATAATGATTTATTTAAAGAAAACTTGTTGGAATGATTGGAACAGTTCAAACCCAAACATTTTTGTCTGTAATATAATGAGACACTTTATAATAAGCTTTTTTAATAAGTGCTTTTTTTATACTATATTTAAATTTATTTATGGTTAACTTTTGGATATTGCTTGGGAATCGTTTTAATAAATTCCTAATATTTTATGTTTTCTATATGTTTATAATTCATATTTTTATAATATAAAGAATAAAACTAAACTTCTTCAAATAATGTTTCTACTGCCTGTAAGTGTGTGTAACTGAAATTCTACCTAACGGCTGGACCGATTTCGAAAAATAATTTAATGTGTACGTTCAAGTGGGTCCCTAAATTGTTTAGATTCACAACTGAACCCGGTAGGTGGTGCTATAGTTATGCAGGACAACGTCTGTCGGGTTTGCTAATATACAAAAATAAACTCTTACATCTTAATTCCGCTAAAGAACCTTCACAGAATTAATGTTATGACACAAAAGATGTCTTGTACAACGCACCCGTTGACTAACACGCAAAATTATCTATCTTTATATTTTTAACTTACTAACCAAATTGTACGTTCTGCGACATCCGTGGCCGAATGGTTTGTACGCCGGGTTTTATGGTGCTGCCGACTCGAGAAGTCCCGGGTTCGAATCCCGGAGGGGCAGATGATTTTGTGTGATGAATAAGAGCATTTGTACTCCAGTCATGGATGTTTAATACGTATTTCTATATAAATATACTTATTTATGTACAGTACCTATACGTATTCTATCCGTTACCCTAGCATCCCATAACACAAGCCTTACAGTGCAAACTTTGGGGCTAGGCTAATTGGTGTGTGTTGGAAATATATATTATTTTTATTTGACCAAATGTAAAATTCATAAATTTTAATTCCAGGTACTATATGATTCTAATGCCGTTGACTTGCTTCATCATGCCATCCGTACTTCCAACACTGTGGGGCGAAAGTTTGTGGAATGGCTACTTCTGCACCGCTATATTCCGATACGTTGCCATTCTGAACAGCACATGGCTAGTGAATTCTGCGGCTCACTTGTGGGGACATAGGCCTTATGACAAAAACATTAACCCAGTAGAAATCAAAGCAGTTTGTGCAGCAGCTTTAGGAGAAGGGTTCCACAATTACCACCACACATTCCCGTGGGACTATAAAACGGCCGAACTCGGACACTATTCGTTTAATATCACAAAACTATTCATTGACGCTATGGCTTCAATTGGTTGGGCTTATGACTTAAAAACTGTGTCACCAGATGTAATTGAGAAAAGAGTGAAAAGAACCGGTGACGGCAGCCATAGTGTTTGGGGTTGGAGCGATCAGTACATTGACGACATCTATGCAGAAGAAGAGAATACTGCAATTGTCCACCCGGACAAGACCCGATAGCTTAAACATTAATGATATTTTAAATTATATTTTCAAAGGAATTTTAGCATTGTGAAAATACAAACCAATTCATTATGGTTATGAATCATATTTGGGTATTTTTATACTTTATTCATTGAAATTGCAATTCTGTCCAATTGATAAATTATTAGTTGTAGTGAAATCGCATTTCTTTTTTAATTTAATTTGTGATATCATGGTGTTATTGATAAGGAATTATTTATTTTAAATAAATGCATTATGTGGTATATTTGAATATATTATTTGTGTTTAAAAATGAATATCATAAGTAAAAAAAGTATAAAAAAGGTTCCGGTTTTGCACAGGTGAATTAATTTTAAATAATATAGCCTGTCACCATGTGAGTAAAGATACATACAGAGTAAAAACTTCTAAAGAGTGGTCATTATTTTTTTCTTTGGAGGAGGAGCATAGGGTGGATGTCCCGGTCTCAAACCAATTAAAGGAAATTATTAACTTTAAAATGTTGCTATATGGCCTAACAGCGATATTTATTGCTAGTTTATTTTTTATATTGTAAGTTATCTAGTTATAAGTTGTATTTGGGAAGCAAAATATTTGATTTCTTTTTGTTTATTTTATTATTCAAGATAATCGGTATAAAACTGGGATGTACCCTAATTTGACCAGCCGGCCCCAGTTGTTATCAAGATTTGTACCAGAGGTTGACCATTTATAAAAAAGTGAAATAATAACTACATTCACAATTAAAAGCAGACGTATTTTATAATCAACTTTATGGTTTGTTCATAGGACTAAGTGACATCAATATGTAAATTAAATTAAGGTCAGTCTCAACAATCACAATAGTAATTCTTAAATCTAAATGGCACATTTTCAAATCACCATAAAATAACGAATCATAACTTCACTTAAACTTTGAACTGTTTAAACAATCTAAAGTTTTGAATAAGTAATTCTTTGTTAATATCAAACTTAAATATTTTTATTAATTGTCAAAAAAATATTTAAGTTTCATACCTAAATTCACGTAACGATTCAAAATTAAAAACTGCAAAATTGAAAAAGGAATAAGATCCAAAAAAGACACTTGGCCATTTCTGGTACTTAATATGAACCTCTATCATTAATTGACACAGGAGCATTAATTTTCTCCACTATGCTGTCATTAGCATACCAAATTTTATCTTCTTTATCTGGCCATTAAAAGTATTAGAAGTTGATATCACCATCGTACTAACTTCTTTACTCTTTTGGTCAATATTTTTGACAATCCCTGGAAAATACTCCCCTCGTAGTTTACTATAGCATATGATCTTATTTCCTCATCTGATCTATCTTTATTACTGTAATTAAATTGATCAAAGGTAAATTATCCTCATCGGAATCAGAATCAATTCTATTCTGAACTCTCTTTTTTACTCGTTTTGTTTTAGGTTTCTCAACTTTTTTCAACTGTTTTTAACTTCTTTTTTTCTTCTCTTGCTAATTTACTATTTTCTTTTCTTCTTGTGCCTTACTTTTTTCATTCCAGTATTGCATCTACTCTACTGATGTAACTGCATCTGGCAATCGCTTTCTATTGAACCTTCTATTATCACCTTTTTTTAGTGGTGATTCTGCAGGCATTGTGCATTCTTTTTCAGAATTAAAGCCTGGTTTATTATGTTTATTTGCTGTTGATTGAGGATCTGACAAGTTGCAAGCATTATTATTAATTTTAATTTCTTTTTTGGTGGCATATTGTATCTAAAACAAGAAAACAAAACTCATATTAAGAGTTTGGTCAATTATAGGATTTGTATGCAGTACCAATGTCAAACCACTGGTCAACTAATGGAAACGTAAGCAATTTACTCCTTTAAAATTGATAGTCGAGTTACAACTCATATTCTGGACATGAAACTGTTAAAAAAAGTAAAAAAAAGAGTACCACTTCAGTGTACTAGTCGTTGACCAATTGGTCAATCACAGGAGCACCTAATCAAATCATGTACCTTTTGTTAACCAGTAAAATAACTCATGAAATATATCGTTTGCATTTGAAATTCATTGAAAATCTTTATAATAAACATAAAATTATTAAAAAAAACAATCATCCGAACAAGTTCATTAAAAAACAATACAAAATAAATTAAAAGTGTTCTTACCTTTCTAAACATTATCCTTACTACAATGGCGGCTGAATGGCAACTGTCAGCGACAAGTCAAAACAAAATTAAATTGTAGCTTTCACTGGTTGTCTCTTTCTAGTCGTAATTTGATTGGTTGATTTGTATTAGTACCAACAAGATGTAGCCAACATGAAATGAAACGCTTAATCGCGGGAAAGCTTAATTGGTGCGGCCAAATGTGGTAATGGATATCTTGTGAGGTCGAAACCCCGGAGAAGTGGACTGTAGGTGATGGTTCGAAGTATTAAGGGGGTTGGTTTATGGGATAGGATTAGGACAAAAAAAAAAACACTGTGCTTACTTGAGGGCTTCGATAATGGCGTTGGCGCATACGTCAGTTTCTCCGGCAGCAGTCTCTTCCGATGCCAGCGGTTCACGATGGCGTTCAAGAAAGTCCTCGTTGATCGCTATCACAAATCACACACAAACCTCCTATTTGCGAAACTGTTATTTAATTACGATTGTTTATTATAATGCGGATGTGAGAAAAACTGTTCATTTAATTATAATGCGGAAAATATATAATCACAATTGTTTGCGGCGCGATGACAAATTCGACCATTTCGTTCTTACGCGGTGACAGAACTCTTCATGCCGTCGGCCTGCCGACAGCCATTTCCTCCCGGCCATTTGTCGTTGCAGGCAAATATATTGCGTCTTCTTCCCTCATTAGCATAAGGCACAGTGTTTGAGGAGAAGGATCTATTGGGATGCGGTTTATTCGAAAATTGATCGAAACGGTATGAAATTAGAGATTAGAATGTTTTGGCGTTACCATTTCCCCCGGCCTTAAAGGGTACCTACCTTTAAAGAAAATGTATAAAGCGGAAATAACTAAGTGGGAGAAATGGAAAAATATTAAATTATTGTGTAGGGATAGGACACAAGCGGACCACAGGTCGCACAAGTATGCCCTTAGAAGTGCGGACAGAAACGACGCGGACGCTGCCGTCTTTAGACGGATGCAGCTTTTCTATGACACCTAAAGGCCATGATAGAGGCGGTGCATTATCATTAATTATTACTACCACCGTACCTTCGCGAATCATGTTACCTACAGGCTTATTCCATTTCTGGCGAGTTTGTAAGCTATGAAGATACTCGCTTCGCCATCTCTTCCAAAAGGACTGGACCATTTTGTCCATAAGCGAGTACCTTTCGAGTAGGTCTGCGTTTGAACCTATCTCCGCGGCGGGCAACGAATAAAGTGGTACTGAATGCAAAAAATGGGAAGGCGTTAGAGCGCTGGGCTCTGACGGATCAGCACTAAGAACGGTTAGCGGTCTGGAGTTTAAAAGACATTCTATTTGCGTAAGAATCGTTATTAACTCCTCATACGAAAGAAGTTGTTGGCCTATTGTCTTAAAAAGATGCGTTTTAACTAATTTTACCATCGATTCCCAACAACCTCCGAAGTGCGGAGAAGCGGGCGGAATAAACTGCCAGTCGATACGATTTTCGGCGAGCTCTTCCTCAAAACGTGGACGGTACTCCCTATTAATGAAATTATATAGGTCGCGAAGATAAGAGTTAGCTCCTCGGAAATTCGTTCCGTTATCGGAGTATAAACACTGTACCGGTCCGCGGCGCGACAAAAATCGTTTTAAGGCTGCCAAAAAACAAGCAGTAGTAAGATCCGTAGCGAGCTCAACATGTATGGCGCGAGTGCTCATACATGTAAATATACATAAATAAGCCTTACGACTCTTTGCACCTCGAGTGCGTATAGGAACATAATTTATGGGACCAGCGTAGTCACAACCGGTATGCGAAAAGGCCTTAATAGGGACATTTACCCTATGTTCCGGAAGATCGCTCATAATCGGCGAGACCTGCGGACGCGGTTTCCACTTATGACAAATATTACACTTGTGGATTATAAAACGAATAGTTCCTCTCGCGGACAATATCCAATATTTGTTACGCAACAGTGACATAGTGAGCTCCGGACCAGCGTGGAAATATTTACTATGGTAATATTCAACGAGAAGCTCCACAGTGCGATCGCGACGTGGTAAGACGACGGGATGTTTAGTATCATAAGTCTCGGCCGAATGGGATAGTCGACCTCCGATGCGAATTAAATTACTTTCTATAAACGGTTTGAGTTTAACGAGAGCGGGCGAACAACATTTATTATTATTTAAATTATTATAATCTTTCGAAAAATGTTTTAATTGAACATGATACAATAAAGCGTTTTCTGCGAATTCAAAATCACTTGCGGCTACGAAATTAGATCTACGCGGTATTTTACGAAGAAAGCGATATACAAATACAATAATGCGTAATAATTTCGACCAACTTGATATACGTTCAGCGAGTGCGAGCAATGGCGAGTTAAATTCAGGACTTGAAACTGTTGTATGAACATGAGCCTTCTCCTCCGGTATTACTTCCGTGTCTACATCAGTAACCTTGTTTATAGGCCACTCTGAAGGGGAGCTCTTAAGCCAAGTTGGTCCACACAACCATAACGGATGCTCAATAAATTTATCGGGCATCAAACCTCGCGATAAACAATCAGCAAGATTTTCTGTACCTGCTACGTGATAGAAGTGCTCTGCGGGGAGGTTGTCCACTATACGAACAACACGGTTGGCAACAAACGTTTGCCAGCGATGCGGTGAGGAATTAATCCAACAAAGGGTCACATTTGAATCGGTGAATGCATAAATGGCTGAGATATTATAGCGCGGATTATAAGTGTCATGCACGCGACGAAGAAGCTTTGACAAAAGCTCTGCTGCGCAAAGCTCAAGCCTAGCGATAGACAACGGCTTTACAGGCGATACCTTAGACTTTGCGCAGGTTAGTTGCACAATCACCTCGTCCTCGCGAGTGATATGAGCGTAAACGACGGCCCCGTAGGCGCGTTCACTAGCGTCAGAAAAACCGACTAAGCGGAAAACGCAGCCATTGATAATACCTAAATGACGCGGAATTTTAAATCTATTTAAAAGCGGAAGCGTGGTGCAAAATATTTTCCAGTTAGTTATGATGTGACGAGGGGGAACATCGTCCCAATCGAGTTTCAAGAGCCACAACTCTTTTATAAGTAATTTTGCGTAAAGAATTACGGGTGAGACAAAAC